TAAAGTTGTTTTAATGTATTAAAGTTGATTTCTGTTTTACTATATACTTAAGTTAATACAAAAAATAATTGATAATAAAAGATTAAAGGTTAAAATTACGTTTTTATAAATTGAAGTAATTTTTACTTTCAATTTCAAAAGCATAAATAAAATAATAAAAGTAAATTCTTAATTAATTTAGGTATATAACTACTTTAATGAGTTCTCAATCATCTGTTAGAGTTAAATTAAATAATTCTGAATTGGATTCAAGAAAACCTTTAAAAATTGAATTAGAGAGATTATTTGAAACAAATAATTGAAAAATTAATAAATAATTATTAAAATTATTTATATCAATTTTAATTAATAGTTATATAATAATTAAGGATTAAACTAATTATAACACATTTCATTTATCTTGCATATTCATTAATTTATATAATTACACTTAATTGTTATTTTATGTTAATAATGAAAAATGAACACCATCTTGACTGAAAGCTCCTCCAATCATTTCATTTTTGTTATATATAATTTATTAAAATTCATAACTATTACTGTTTATTATTTTAATAAAGTTAACATTACTTTTATTAGTAATAGCAAGAATTTTCATTTATGAATTCCATTTTAATGGTGAAATTTAAAATTTATGAGATTTTCCTTTTAATTATATCTGTTTTTAAAAATTAAATAATTAATCTTAAATATTGAATTCATATATAAAGATTAGTTCTTAATCTTTGAGTTTAATAATTAACATATTATTATTTATAAAGATTGATTTACTATTATTTGATTATATTCCAATCTTTTATTTTTCTATCCATATTCTTTAAGTATCTTTTACACATTATTACATGATCAAAATATTATTTTCATTTGAATTAATTGTCAAATAAGTATCAAATTCACTAATACTTAAATCTGATATCCAATCATTATAAATTTTTAATTGTTAATGAACTTAAAATCCATTTTTAATATTTAAAATTAAAATTTACTAATAACCTCCTACAACCACTTAATCTTCAGCATTATTTAATATCATACAACTCGCTTCTATTGGGATATTACATTTATAAAGAATTTTTTGATTATTTATTGCAATTAAAGATTAAACTGCTATTTATTTATTTAAGCTTCCTGCAACAAAAGTATTAGATTTCTTAAAGCACATTATTGATGAAATGTACATCGAATTTTATATTATAGCTATTCTTTTTAGACATTACTATTTGATTTATAAAACATTATATGTAAACCCTTAATTTACCAATAGGATGGTAGAATTATAATTAAATGATGCTTCTTTATTAAGATTATTGATTTTTTTCTCCTTTATCGAATCAATTAATTAATATTAATAAGCTTTATCAATTCTGTTTGATTTATCACTTTAATTTGCTCCCATTATTATATAAATGATATTTAAATCACAAAGTTATATAATGAAAAAACAGTATTTAATGGAATTGTTTATAGATTTTTCAAAATGATTTCTTATATAATAATAACAAATTGATAATAAACTTTTTAATGATTACATCTATCATTATTAGTTAACTTTTTATTGATAATTTATAAAAACTAATCTACACGATGATTTAATGTCTATATGATTATCTCAAGAAAAAAAAATATAAATATATCTNTTATAACACATTTCATTTATCTTGCATATTCATTAATTTATATAATTACACTTAATTGTTATTTTATGTTAATAATGAAAAATGAACACCATCTTGACTGAAAGCTCCTCCAATCATTTCATTTTTGTTATATATAATTTATTAAAATTCATAACTATTACTGTTTATTATTTTAATAAAGTTAACATTACTTTTATTAGTAATAGCAAGAATTTTCATTTATGAATTCCATTTTAATGGTGAAATTTAAAATTTATGAGATTTTCCTTTTAATTATATCTGTTTTTAAAAATTAAATAATTAATCTTAAATATTGAATTCATATATAAAGATTAGTTCTTAATCTTTGAGTTTAATAATTAACATATTATTATTTATAAAGATTGATTTACTATTATTTGATTATATTCCAATCTTTTATTTTTCTATCCATATTCTTTAAGTATCTTTTACACATTATTACATGATCAAAATATTATTTTCATTTGAATTAATTGTCAAATAAGTATCAAATTCACTAATACTTAAATCTGATATCCAATCATTATAAATTTTTAATTGTTAATGAACTTAAAATCCATTTTTAATATTTAAAATTAAAATTTACTAATAACCTCCTACAACCACTTAATCTTCAGCATTATTTAATATCATACAACTCGCTTCTATTGGGATATTACATTTATAAAGAATTTTTTGATTATTTATTGCAATTAAAGATTAAACTGCTATTTATTTATTTAAGCTTCCTGCAACAAAAGTATTAGATTTCTTAAAGCACATTATTGATGAAATGTACATCGAATTTTATATTATAGCTATTCTTTTTAGACATTACTATTTGATTTATAAAACATTATATGTAAACCCTTAATTTACCAATAGGATGGTAGAATTATAATTAAATGATGCTTCTTTATTAAGATTATTGATTTTTTTCTCCTTTATCGAATCAATTAATTAATATTAATAAGCTTTATCAATTCTGTTTGATTTATCACTTTAATTTGCTCCCATTATTATATAAATGATATTTAAATCACAAAGTTATATAATGAAAAAACAGTATTTAATGGAATTGTTTATAGATTTTTCAAAATGATTTCTTATATAATAATAACAAATTGATAATAAACTTTTTAATGATTACATCTATCATTATTAGTTAACTTTTTATTGATAATTTATAAAAACTAATCTACACGATGATTTAATGTCTATATGATTATCTCAAGAAAAAAAAATATAAATATATCTAAGTTTAGTCATTCTTAAAAATATATAATCTTTAGAGATTATTATATTTTAATATTATTTATTAGTAAAAATGAATAAGCCTTTTTCAATAAACATAAAATAAATACATTATTAATTTGAATATTCAATCAAAATTAGTAACTTGACTGCTATCAATTTATAAGAATTATCATAATAATAATTTAGTTTATTATTCAAGATGACTAAAAAGATTCAACATTTTACTATTTAATTATAAGTAAATTCATTTAAATATAACACTAGATAACAAAGCAATTCTAATCTAGATATTATCAATTAATTCTTATCAACAAATGTAGACAGATTTAAATGATTTTGAGAGTAAAACATTGTCAATTCAAAATTTAGCTCATGTAAATTATTTGAAAAAAAAGTTTTAATTCTACAATCTCACTTATTAATTATTCCAAGATAAATTTTAATCTTTAAAAGAATTGAAAAATAAGCTAATATTTTTCAGATTATGATTTAATAAGATAGAAATGTTTTCATTTTAACAGTTCTAGAATTTAAGATTTGATATATTTTAATTATTGTATAATAACAATTATTTTAAGATCTTTTGATAATGATTGAGTTAAAATAAAGAAAAATCTTTGAAAATATTTGAAACATGTTAAATAAATGTTATTTATAGAACATATTTCATTGTCATTTGAATCTTTTTTCTATTTCAGTCTGTCTAATACGAGCCAAAATTGATTCAATTTTATTTTACTTTTCAATCCATTTATCACATTCAACATCAATTTTATAACATCTATGCCATTCTATATATTAAAAATTTTCTTACCATTCATAAATCTCATTGACCTGAGTTTAATAATATCTAAGTAGACTTGGTACATTTCTTTGCAAAGAGGTGGAGATGATTTAATTTATGGTTCTAATTCTAATATTTTATGTAATTCTGCAAATTATTCCTCTGATATTGATTCTACTTTTAATCTCCATAATGTTTCATAATTATCTTTGAATAATAATACAAGATATTTTGAAATTTGAATTCCAACAGGATCCTTTTCAAATACATCCTTAAATTATGTTGATTTAAAATCCATTTTATTTACAGCATTAATAATATTCATTCTTGTAGTCATGAAATCATTATTTAATTCTCCATTTAATTCTCCATAAACATATGTCTTAATAGGATCCATTTAACCTTCAAATTCTTGAATCTTCTTTTTGATTTTATCTAACCTATTTGTTAAAATTGCTTATGTCATTTAGTCAGCCTTTTTACTCAAAGTTCTAAATTAAAGAAGTTAATTATATTCAACAAACTCAAAAACCTTTCCAAGTACTTCAGGTCTAAGAATAAAAAGCCCTTTTGTTTGAGGCATTTCTTTATCATTTTATATCATCTATTTGACAAATATATTAATTAATAAAAAGAAAATGAAGATCTTCGGGCTTTAATATCCAAAGAATTTAAGAAATTTGGATAAAATCTAATATCTTTTGCTTTGAATTCTAATTTATCATAATAATTTATAAACCCTCTTAAATAGGATAAAAAATGATAATTTAAAGGAAACATTAATTTATTCTATATTGTTTTNTCAATTTATAAGAATTATCATAATAATAATTTAGTTTATTATTCAAGATGACTAAAAAGATTCAACATTTTACTATTTAATTATAAGTAAATTCATTTAAATATAACACTAGATAACAAAGCAATTCTAATCTAGATATTATCAATTAATTCTTATCAACAAATGTAGACAGATTTAAATGATTTTGAGAGTAAAACATTGTCAATTCAAAATTTAGCTCATGTAAATTATTTGAAAAAAAAGTTTTAATTCTACAATCTCACTTATTAATTATTCCAAGATAAATTTTAATCTTTAAAAGAATTGAAAAATAAGCTAATATTTTTCAGATTATGATTTAATAAGATAGAAATGTTTTCATTTTAACAGTTCTAGAATTTAAGATTTGATATATTTTAATTATTGTATAATAACAATTATTTTAAGATCTTTTGATAATGATTGAGTTAAAATAAAGAAAAATCTTTGAAAATATTTGAAACATGTTAAATAAATGTTATTTATAGAACATATTTCATTGTCATTTGAATCTTTTTTCTATTTCAGTCTGTCTAATACGAGCCAAAATTGATTCAATTTTATTTTACTTTTCAATCCATTTATCACATTCAACATCAATTTTATAACATCTATGCCATTCTATATATTAAAAATTTTCTTACCATTCATAAATCTCATTGACCTGAGTTTAATAATATCTAAGTAGACTTGGTACATTTCTTTGCAAAGAGGTGGAGATGATTTAATTTATGGTTCTAATTCTAATATTTTATGTAATTCTGCAAATTATTCCTCTGATATTGATTCTACTTTTAATCTCCATAATGTTTCATAATTATCTTTGAATAATAATACAAGATATTTTGAAATTTGAATTCCAACAGGATCCTTTTCAAATACATCCTTAAATTATGTTGATTTAAAATCCATTTTATTTACAGCATTAATAATATTCATTCTTGTAGTCATGAAATCATTATTTAATTCTCCATTTAATTCTCCATAAACATATGTCTTAATAGGATCCATTTAACCTTCAAATTCTTGAATCTTCTTTTTGATTTTATCTAACCTATTTGTTAAAATTGCTTATGTCATTTAGTCAGCCTTTTTACTCAAAGTTCTAAATTAAAGAAGTTAATTATATTCAACAAACTCAAAAACCTTTCCAAGTACTTCAGGTCTAAGAATAAAAAGCCCTTTTGTTTGAGGCATTTCTTTATCATTTTATATCATCTATTTGACAAATATATTAATTAATAAAAAGAAAATGAAGATCTTCGGGCTTTAATATCCAAAGAATTTAAGAAATTTGGATAAAATCTAATATCTTTTGCTTTGAATTCTAATTTATCATAATAATTTATAAACCCTCTTAAATAGGATAAAAAATGATAATTTAAAGGAAACATTAATTTATTCTATATTGTTTTCATATGTTTACCCATCTTCAAACCTATAATATATTTCTAATATTAATTATATCTCATTGATTGTAAAAAATAGAAAGAATTTAATTGTTTTGTATTTCATCATATAATGGATTTTCATAATTCATTTGTTTTAATTATTATAATGAAAAATAGAAGATTATTATAATATTATAATAATCCAATCTAATTCAATGTATTTCTAAATATCAGAATTGATTATTAATAATATAAATTACACAATTTTTCATTTATATTAAGCTACTATTCATTATAATCATTAATGACAATAGTATTATACTAATATAATCCTTTTTAGAATGACAATTCAAATAGATAAAATTTAAATAGTAAAGTATTTTTATATGTTTAAATAATTTGTTTATCATATTTTTTTAATATGCATTATAAGAGTATCATTACAACATTCTTACTTATTTTTATGTAATTCTTTATAATAGTCATAAAAATATTATCAAAATTTAAAGTATTATGTTTTTAAATAGTATGGCGAAATTAAAATTGATTAGAATATAGGATTTCTAATTTTATATTTATAAACTGAATGGATGAAGATGATAAATTAAATATTTAATGATTATAAAACTAGTGTATAATAAAGAAATACATCTATTTAAATTAGAGAATCCAGTCATTTTAGAAATCAAGAATCACATTCAAAAATTGCATCCTTAAATAAATTAGAACTATTCATTATTTTATAGGGATGATGAAGGAGATTTAATCAGTATAAGTTCAGATGAGGATTTAAAAGTCTTGATGGAAAGTGTTAAGAATTAGACTGTGAAGATTACAATTTAAACATCAAATACATGGATATGTAAGACTTGTACACTTGAAAACTTAGAAGGAGTAGTATGTATTGCTTGTTCATCATACAAGGAGGGAGAACCTTAATAACATGGTTAATAGTATTAAGGATTTTAATAACCATATTATCAACCCTAATGTTATTAGGCTCCTTAGTAATTTGGACCTCCTCCTTAATAACCACCTCCTTAATTTCCCTTTGTTCCTCATTAAATGCCTCCATGTCCACCTTTTGGACATTTTGGAATGGCTGGCTTTGGACATCCTCCTCATATGTTTCCTGGATTCCATCATTTTAAACACCATCGTCATCATCATTTGAAATGGCACAAATTTCGTTAGATAATGAAAGATCCTTAATTTAAATAACAAAAAGAGAAATTATAATAGTTATTAAAGGAAGTTAGTTAGACATTAAGAAATACTATGTAAAATACATAGTAATAATAATTTTATTAGTATATTTATGAATATTTATCTATAGATATTAATAGTAATGGAATTGGAATGAGATGGATGAACAAAGAGCAACTAGATTAGCTGAAGTGTTACAATGTAATTAGGAATAGGCAAGAGAATATTTATTAATATTCAGAGATTTGACACTTGATGAGATTGTTATGATGGTTGAGAATACAGAATGATTCATGAATTATATTAGATTTATGGAATTAAATAATAATTTCTATATTTATTAAAATTGATAAGTGCTAATATCAAATAATTAGCTTTGAATAATAAAAATACATAAATGTAAGTGAATTATGAAGCATTGATTGATGGTATTAATAATTGATTAATTTTAGAGACAAAAAATAAAATGTTAAAATGGCAAGAAATCAACGAATAGAACATGTGGGAATTGTATTCTAATAAAGATGGATATATTGTGTATACAAAAAAGAATCCAGAAAATGGAATTGCTATGAATAGGACTCAAACAGAAATTGCAAGAACACCTGATCAAATACTTGATTTAGTAGGAGATGTAAATAAAAGACCATTGTATGATGAAAAAATCGAAACTGTACTAATCATTAATTTATAAATATAGGCACATGTTATAGAATAGATTGATGCAAATACAAGAATAATTTATGTTAGAATCAAACCACCCATTCCATTTATGAGTAGTAGAGATTTAGTTATGGTTCAGAAAGTCTATAAATAAAATGATGGCATTATTATAGTTTGTTGTAAGATAATTATTAATGCATATAGCTAAATCTATTATACATTAGAAAACTCCTCCTATTCATAAAGTTGAAAGAGCAGAAATGCATTTAAGTGGTTGGATTATCATTCCATAACCAAATCAAGTACAATATACATAATAAATATTAGATGACTAAAATTATTGCTATATAATGTTTTGATCCAAGAGGAGATGTACCTTAATCAGTGACTAATCAATATGCAAAATTGTAATCAGATATGATGAAAGCAGCCGTAAAATATATTGCACTTAATTATAAATGAGTATTTATCAAAATATTAATATTGATAATCATTTGTTAAATAAGTATTTCATTCCTAAAAATATATTTTAAACATTAATATTAATTTCTTTTTATTTTCTATGTAAATTGTTAAGTATTGTAATTTTTAATACATCTTAAATAAATTCAAGGAAAAAGGAAGAAATTAATATTCATTTTACTATGGTATCATAGTTGTTATTATTTAAATGATCACGAACAATGAGATTATCAATGTTTTGGCCTTATTTGAATTCAATTTTTCATAAAAAAACTAGATGTATAAATAAAAAAATTGCTATTGATATCATGTCAAGATTTTTAATATTCAATTAAGAATATACAAAATTCATATGAAACAAGCCTAAATGAGAACATAATTCCTCAATTTTTCTTCATTTATGGATATATTGAAAAAGTAATTGTTACATTATATTTGTCCAAGTACTCTGTTGAATTAATTATTCCTTAACAGCAAGATTCTTTTTAATCCTATTACTATTGGTATGAGTAGTATAATATAAGATATCAATATATTAATTAATAAATTTATTTTTAGTGAAAAAATGAATGAAATGCAAGTAAAAAAGTACTCAAATATAATCAAAGATAACCAAATTTGAGTTCAGATTTTGGATTTATTAATGAAATAACATAGAAATTTTTCAAGATCCAGAAGAAGTTCATCTCCACAAGAGAAAATCAAAAAGACTTAGAAGGGTAGATAAAAGAAAAACCGTAACTCAAACAATTCATCATGTAATACCAACTCATAATCACATGAAAAGTAACCTCGTTAACTTCAAGAAGGGAAAATTCTTAAATTCATTAAGGAACTAGAAGCTTAACAGGAGAAATAAGTTTCTAATTTGAAATTTAGTCAATCTTTTATTGAAGATGTTTAATAAAAATGTATTTATTATACATCTATTTTAAGAGACTATTGAGGAAGATCAAGGTCATCCAGAATTTGATAAATAGTTACAATACATAAAATGTTATGAATAAGAATTTCATTAAACATTAATAAATGAGAATATCTATCTTGGAAATAGTCTTTAAAACTAAAAGATTGATGATAAACTAAGAGCAAGGATGATTGATTGGATGATAGAAGTCTTAGGAAATTATAATGAAACCACATCTGATGCTACTTTTTTCAGATCTGTTTCAATTATGGATTACTATTTATAAAAATCAATAACGGAATATTCTAATTCTAATCTTCATTTAATTGGAATTACTTCTATGTTTATAGCTAGTAAACTTGAAGATATTTATCATATTCCATTAAAGGATTTTGTCACAAGAATTAGTCATTATAAATGTTCATCGTATTTTTTATATTTATTGTAGATCCAAAATTAAAGCAATGGAATAATCAATATTGGAAACTTTAAATTTTGAGATTACATTTCCAACATCTCTTGATTATTTACAAAATATCTTATACTAATTTTTTAGTTAGAATGACAAGTAATTATTGTTTATTAAATTTAGTCCTTATTTAAAAAATATATAAAAGACTAGTATTTATATTTTAAAAATGTGTCTACATGATTATGAAATGACATCTATTAGTTAAAATGCTCTGGCATCTTCAGCATTCATTTATTCCATCAATGATTTTGTTTTGAAAAATAACAACAACAATTAAGAATTAACAATAAATTAATTTGTAATTTATTAATACTATATTAATATAGATCAATTAGACAATTTAAATCTCTTAAATTAATTAAATTGAGATTAAGGAGTTTGTAAATAAGATATAAGATCTAATTTAAAATTTTTAAAAAAATCATCCAACATTATATAATTTAGACAAATATTAATGAAAATTTATTTGTTCAAACATTATTTTATTATAATTTAATTTATGTAATAAAATACATGTGAAATTCTGATGAGGAATTTTGATTTTTATAATAATGCAACTTGGCAAGAAGTTAAACCAAAAATTAAAGCCATCATTGAGTAATTTTAATAATAATCAAAGCCAAAAATTGAAGATCTTAAATCATTCTATCAAGATCTTGAGTATGATCATTCTTTTATTTAATGGATGTTTCCTAACTTTTATGCAAGTAAATTCAATCCAAATTCTTATAAACTAAACCTAGAAGAAAGAAATAGGATGATTTAATCATAAACTATTCTAAAGAGATTTCATTAAAATTACATATTAATTTTACGATTCTTTGGAATATAATTAAGATCAAATTAAATTGTCATTTTAGATTTACCTGATGATTTTAATGAATTTAATTATTTTTCTTAACCATAAACACAAACTATATTAAAATAAAAGAGCATATAAGGTACTATAAATTAGAAAGTATAATCACAAAATGTTAATTAAAAATAAAGTGAAAACTCTAAAATTAAATAAACTATTATAGATTAATTTATTAAAGATAAATAGTAAATTCTTAAGGATGACTAATAATTTTAATAATCAAAAAAAATAGATAATTAGACAAATATTTAAATTTAGAATACTAATATTGAATATAAGATTGATCAAATTAATGACAATTAATAATAAGAATTAGTATTAATTGATAAGAATTAATTTGAATTGTGTTGTTTAAAAAATACTCATAATCTATTAAGATTAAAGAGAATTCTTTCATCCTTGAGTGTTTTAAAACATAGAAAGGAAGCAATTTAACTTTGTTAGTTTTTGAAAAAATAATTAACTAATTTGGGAAAAGAGAAAATCTATTAAGAGTATTTTAGTGGATTTGATAGATATGATGAAGAATTAACTAAAAATGAGTTAAAAAAGAAAAAGGGTGAGAATAGGTATTTCAATGGTTACAAGTTGCTTTATGTAGATGAAGATTTAGTAGAGAAAGTAGACATTTCGTTAATTTAATGATTTAATAAATTAGGATAATGTTTTATGAAATAATCATTTTTTAGTTGATAAATTTGTATTAATTTTAGGATTGACAGATTTAAATTTCTCCATTTTAAATGGTTCCTTCTTTTCTACTCCTTAGATAGCTGCTAATTTTTTATGATTGCTTTCATGAAATAATTAAGATGCTTTGTTACTTTTGACTATTGATGTTGTCAATTTGGAATCCTGTAATTAATTAAACATAATGCATATACTTGAGATCCAGCTCTTTATTAATATTTATCCAAAATGTTTGATTCAGCTTCAATACCATAAGAGTTACCCATAACCAATTTCATAGGAGTTGATGGTCTAGATAGAGAGTATTCAATACCTATTTTTTCGACCATATCGAAATTCTTCTTCTGGTAATTCAATGGCTTAAATATTTGTGCCCTTGTTTATTTTAAGTCTGGCATCATGAGTCTATCTATACTTGTACATATCCTGAATGATTTATGAATGAATCAGTTACATGTGCTTTGACTAACCCATTATTTATAGATTATTTATTGAGTTCAGCAAAATCTCTATTTGGTACTCTATCTTAAGATTCTTGATGAAATTTCCATGTCATTGTAACTTAAGTAAATTGAGATTTTCATAAATACCTTCTTTGGCTCCTTCTTTATCTCTTGATAATGGCTATCCATAAATAAAATCTTGATTAGGTAAATTATATGTAGATGGTTTAGCTTTTCCAACATCATCTTTCATCAAGAGAGGATTGGAATGATTATGTGAAAAAGGAGGTGCAGTTTACATAAATTATTTTATTTATTAATAATTTGTTTTTATTTATCATTATTAATGATAATAATAATAGGTTACTATATTGTTATAATTAAAACCGTAATACAATAGTGATATTATATAGGATATTTTACAGCAAGCATAATCATAATATTGTGAAGAAACTAAATGTAAAAAATAGAGAATTTAAAGAATATTAATAATAATCAGTAGAATAATTTAGATTAGTTAAATAAAATAAGACTTTACTTGAAGATGGATAATTTTCATTAAATTATTAATAAGAATATTTTATTGAATAATAATATTAATTTAAAATATTCTTTAAGAAAGAATTCAAAGCATAATTATTTAGTTTCATTATAAAGAGATTAGTCAATAGAAGAGAAATTAATGATTATTTTAATAATTTAATTAATTAATTAATAAAAATTTATATTTATATTAGAAGCAATAATGAGTTAGGAGGAGATTTGGGCTAAATAAGATGATATAAATTTATAAGCTGAGGAAGGTGAGTAAAGAAGGAAGAATAAAAAAAGAGTAATTACAAATCCCAATTAATTAACAGGACATTGGAGTGAATAAGAACATAATACATATATAGATTTTTTGAATATGCATAGAACAGTGATGGAATCATAAGATTAAAAGAAAACAAGCAAGATTTTCAAATTGATGAGTGAAACCATTGGTACTAGAAGTCCTTCTTAATGCCGGTGAGATTAGTTTTTTCTCTATCTTATAGGTCTCATCATTAGAAGTTTAATCCTTTTTTACATTCTGTTAAGAAGAGATCAAAGGGAGTGGGTCGAAAGAGAAAGGAGAATGGAAACTAAGATAAAATAGATAAATTTAATGATAATGGACTGTTATAATAGTTTATGATTGGACCTCAATTTTATTAATAATAATAGAGTTTTTAAGATTTCTAATTTCAATTTCCGTAGATGTCATATATGTTTCCAATGATGGATTAGATTTGTAAGGATGAGGATAAATTAAATCTATATGATTAATAATAGTTGTATTATCAGTAATACTTGTTGGCATAATAGTAAATGTAGTCGTAAATGGATGAGAAAAATTTGTTTTGTTATTTTATGTAACCCTAACAGATTCAGATGAATTTGAATTATTATCCACAATAGATGATATCTAATATATCAGATGATTTAAACATCAAAGATAATCAATTTGATGAATAATGAAATAGTTTTTAAATTTTATAGTTTGAGATAATTCGTTTTTATTTAAATAATGAAAATACAATTAATATTAGTTCTTCTAATAGCAGTCAATACTCAATCTTTTTTGGAAGAGTCATCATAATATTATTAAACTCCATTTGCTCCCATCATGATCTAAGAGGATGTGTTATAATAATAAGGGATTGAAACAGCAATGGCTCCTGAATAAGAATATGTATATGATCCAGAGTCAGTTTTATAATCAGCCAAAGAATAATAAATTTTAATAGCTAGAAATTATGAATAAAACTTACCTGCAAAAGGTGATTGCATAATATTGTATTCTGAATGCAACTTTAGAGGTTCATCATTTAAGTATTGCAATAAACCAGATGAAATTTTATCATTCTAACTCCCAATTTAATCTGTTTATGTTCCTATTGGGTATTAATTATATTTAATAAGATCTACCTTCCAAATGACTGATGCCATAGAAGGAAATAAAATTAATATGTTAATGAGTTAAAATTGCATATTATCTGGTTTACATTTACCAGAACCATAATTATAAGAAGTTTAAGAGACTGGTAATAGTTGGTTTAGTGAATTGAAAGATTCTGAAAAGGCAATTTTAGATGAAGGTGATTTATCAACACCAAAAATATAATTCTTTGATAATGATGGAAATGTGATTAGTAAATTGTTATTTGATTATTCTATCAGGTAGAGAACAATATTAAAAAATGGTTGAAGAAGATGCCAAGAGATCATATGAAATTTTAACTGGATAAACTAATTTATCATCTCCAGGAGAATAATAACCATAATAAACTGCCACAAATGTTAATATTGAAGAAATGCCAGCTGAAAAAGAAGCATAATAATAATAATAATAATGATGGATTATTATTAATTTTAAATAAAAATAATATTAATTTCTTATATTTATAATAGTATTAAAAATATCAAATCTTGTAAACTATTCAAAACTATGAATATACATTTTACATACATCTTCACTGTTAATATCATCTGGTAGAATCTTGTCATGATGTTAATGTTATTATTACATTAACTATTGTTATTTTAGATATTCATGTTTCTAACTTTAAACAATTATTATATAATAATTACGCAGCTTATGCCAATTATACATCCATCATATTAATTCTTAATTTGTCTTTGTTATTATTAGATTTCCCTTTCATTTTTTAATTCTATTATTATACAGATTATTATTGGTTTTGTTACTATTAAAATTATCTAATAGAATATAAATTAAATAATATATTACTAAGCTTAATTAAAATAACAACTAACTTCTGTTGCTTATTCTTTCCCTAAATATCCAAAACTACTTTCTTCTGAATCATTAACTCCTTAATATTAGTATATAATTCTTACTTGAATCATCAGCCAATAATGAATCACATAAATCTAATTATTTATAACTAGTTTCATATTATTGAATTATTTTATCTGGAATTTATTATGATAATTATTATTTTTATTATTAATTGTTTTTTTAAATTTAAGAATGTTTTTGTTATGGTAACATATCTATATTTAAATTTCCTTCAGTATCATCTTAATTAACATTTTCTGCACTTTAAATAAATTATTCAAACATTCTATAAAAATATAAATTAATTTACTCTATTATCGAACTATCACCAACTCTTTTTAAAAATACTTTCATTAATTATTCTCTTTATAATAATTTTTATATTGCTTCAAATTATCCTTATACGAGATATTTCAATTCTTGAGTTTCTATTTTTTTAATATATATTTATATATACCTGATTCTAATTAAATATTTTCTTGATTATTGTTATTCTATTTTTACAATTCCGAGATTTATTACTTCAATTAGATTATTTAATCATTCATTTATTATTTATTTTCTTATAATTATTCATTTTCTTACTGTAAGATTTCTTATTTCTTTTTATTTTAAAGTAATACATTTTCCATTTTCTTTTTATCTAATTGTTATTAATAAGATTATTATAAAATCTGAATCTATCTTTTAAAGAAATGATCTATTTAAATTGCTTAGAATGTATCTTGAGTTGAGGATGGCAAATTGAATTGTTATTGAGATACTTAAAGATTTGGTTCTTAGAATAGTACTACTACTAATTAGTTTAGTATTTAATTAAATTTAGTCATAAATGCTAATTCTTTAGTATCTTATGGTAGATTTTGATCTCGTTCCTATAATAACAATTTAATTTTCTCTTTGATTTTNATTTATAATAGTATTAAAAATATCAAATCTTGTAAACTATTCAAAACTATGAATATACATTTTACATACATCTTCACTGTTAATATCATCTGGTAGAATCTTGTCATGATGTTAATGTTATTATTACATTAACTATTGTTATTTTAGATATTCATGTTTCTAACTTTAAACAATTATTATATAATAATTACGCAGCTTATGCCAATTATACATCCATCATATTAATTCTTAATTTGTCTTTGTTATTATTAGATTTCCCTTTCATTTTTTAATTCTATTATTATACAGATTATTATTGGTTTTGTTACTATTAAAATTATCTAATAGAATATAAATTAAATAATATATTACTAAGCTTAATTAAAATAACAACTAACTTCTGTTGCTTATTCTTTCCCTAAATATCCAAAACTACTTTCTTCTGAATCATTAACTCCTTAATATTAGTATATAATTCTTACTTGAATCATCAGCCAATAATGAATCACATAAATCTAATTATTTATAACTAGTTTCATATTATTGAATTATTTTATCTGGAATTTATTATGATAATTATTATTTTTATTATTAATTGTTTTTTTAAATTTAAGAATGTTTTTGTTATGGTAACATATCTATATTTAAATTTCCTTCAGTATCATCTTAATTAACATTTTCTGCACTTTAAATAAATTATTCAAACATTCTATAAAAATATAAATTAATTTACTCTATTATCGAACTATCACCAACTCTTTTTAAAAATACTTTCATTAATTATTCTCTTTATAATAATTTTTATATTGCTTCAAATTATCCTTATACGAGATATTTCAATTCTTGAGTTTCTATTTTTTTAATATATATTTATATATACCTGATTCTAATTAAATATTTTCTTGATTATTGTTATTCTATTTTTACAATTCCGAGATTTATTACTTCAATTAGATTATTTAATCATTCATTTATTATTTATTTTCTTATAATTATTCATTTTCTTACTGTAAGATTTCTTATTTCTTTTTATTTTAAAGTAATACATTTTCCATTTTCTTTTTATCTAATTGTTATTAATAAGATTATTATAAAATCTGAATCTATCTTTTAAAGAAATGATCTATTTAAATTGCTTAGAATGTATCTTGAGTTGAGGATGGCAAATTGAATTGTTATTGAGATACTTAAAGATTTGGTTCTTAGAATAGTACTACTACTAATTAGTTTAGTATTTAATTAAATTTAGTCATAAATGCTAATTCTTTAGTATCTTATGGTAGATTTTGATCTCGTTCCTATAATAACAATTTAATTTTCTCTTTGATTTTTTAAATTTGAGATTAATCACTTGATACACTATTACTATTGATTTTATTCTTAACAGAATGATGGAAGGATGCATTTTTAGTTAAAGCAGGAGATTATTATTCTATATGTATCATAGATTGATTTTTGCGTAACTTATGTGAAATTTTAACAGTTTCAATCAATTCGTTGTTGATTGAATACTTTTATTTAGTGTTTTGTTATTGTCCACTTATTACATTTAAAATACTGCTTAATTTTTATTAAGACACAGGTTAATTTATAAATGTCTTATTGACTTTCTACAAATTCTCATAAGATTTTTATCTTCCAACGACAGGACTATTGTTATTTGAGATGTTTTGTGATTAACTTTCAATGTGATTTTTGGATCCATTTTTAGTTAACTTCTTTTCCAGGATTTTACCTTATAATTTTAACATCTAACTGGCATAAATTTATTAAGCTATTCTTTCATTATCACATTTTTTCATTATTATTAATAATCTAATTATGCTAAAATAAGAGGAATAGTACGAACAACCAGAACAACAAGAATAACAAAGGGACTATGTTAAAACACCACTTTCTATTTGTGAGTTGAATTATAGACTAACTTAAAAGGAAAATCAATATCTTTAACATAATAGGATTGATGTTGACTTCAGAAAATATTTGAGTTCATTTAGTATCATTAAAAAGAAGGATTATAACATAAGTTAGATCTAAAAGTAATATTATCCTTTTTATATTAGAATCTTCGATCGTCAATGTGCCGAATATGATCTAATACTCTTGAATGAAGGTCGAGATAAAAAGGAATACAAGAAAATGCTGATCAAACTTTAAAGGATTTAGAAGAAAGCATGGAATTTGAATTTGGATAAGAGAGAAGATATTAAATAAGTATGTAAAGCTTATGAATTCCCAGACAAAATTTTAGATGAAATTGCATAAACTATAAAGAATTACAATAGAGAATGAATTGTATTTATAATTTATCAATATATCATTATTCTTCAATCTTCAAATAGCTCTCTAATCTCAATTGTCTCATGATCAATTCACAATTTTATTGAACTCCCCAAATTTCAAATTCTTGAATTTTAAATTAATTTTGCTTCGAAAGCAGTTCATTACTAAATGTTGAACTACTATTTAATTCTCCATTCAAGAAATTTTAATTGATCTTAATAGAAAATTGATCTTCTTCATCTGGACCACCTATTATAAATCCATTTTCATTGCAAAATTAAAAACATTCATTCATTTTACTATTTTTATAAATTCTAAACCCATTATTTTTAAAACTAAATAAAAAACTCTATTCATTTCCATAATAATTCTTATCTATATGCCATCCTTCTTCTAAATATGCTCCAAATATTACATCCCAATCATCTTTTAAAATTAATAAATGTTCTTTAAGATTTTTTGTTCTTCTCAAAAATTCTTAAAATGAATTACCATGATATTTAGGACTATATATATATATAATTTACTTAAATACTTAGTACCATGGATTATCTATAACATTTTCTGGTAAATTATTTTATAATTATTCAAAATGTGATTATGAAATAATACTACTTGGTTTATTTAAAGTAGTTGATCTTATTTAATACATATCATATTTATGTTCAATATCTAATTTTTATATAGATATTATATCATAATATGTAATTTAAGATAAACATTCCATCTAATTATTTTTTTATTAATGATTTTGATATTAATGTAATATTTTTCTGAATGTCTTTTTATTTGTTTAATAACGATTCAATCTTAATATATAATTCATTAGATGATAAATTTAATCACTTTATAATTTTGATATAATTCCTTGATTATTTGTTAATTATTTTATTAGTTATATAATATCATCAGGACATGTTTAATTTAATAATAAAGTTATTGATAAAACTGATGGCTTATTTTCATGATCCAAAACTGGTAATTCTATACCACTTTTACCAAATAAATAAAATTAAACCCAATCATCTCTATTTTTTATTGAATAGATATCTTCTAATAGTATTGTAAATGAAAACTTTGATAATATTTCATCATTAATATCTTTTTACTATTTAGTTGTTGTTCTCATTAATGTATCAATTACATCATTATTATTTGCAATGAACTATCTATTATTTATATACACCATACATTTTTGTTTTATTGAATTCCAAAATCCCTTTTATTAAACCATAAGTTGTCCAATACTGACATTCAATCTGAAATATTAAGACATTATATGCAAAAGGAGTAGGAATTACATAAAATTCATCTATTTCTCTATTAGCTGTAGCAAATTTCAATTCTACAGGATGTATTTATTTAAAAATAGGTGCAATCATTATTTAATAAAAACAAATATAATTTTATTCACATTTCATTACGGTAATTATGAGATTTGATCACTAATAAAATTTGATATTTAATCTAACTTTTTTGATTTCAATTTGTTTAATTATTATATTAATATTACTCTATATTCTTCCTTATAAAAATTTGATTTTACAGATTCCTTAAGAAAATTATCTAAAACATTAATGTCCAAATAACCTTCCAAACCATCTTAAATATAATTATCAGGTATTTCAGCTTCCAATTTTTGAGGAATATCAAATGTCATTGGTATAACCTTTTACAATACTTCTTTAATTAATTATCTACTATTCATTTTAATCTCTTAATATCTTAAATGCAAATAAAGTATAAGTTTCATAGGTGAAAAATATTCAGCATTTTCATCAGAACAAAAACTTTCAATATAAACAAGATCCTATTCAGAAAATCTATTATATTAAATAAATTATAATACTTATCAGTTATAGCATAAATAATATTTTTAAGATGTTTTTTATGAATCAAATCTATTCCCTCTATTCCTAAATCAACCAATTCAACTTCTCTTGGATCATATTGTGCTTATTACATTCCTTTCTTTTAATATTTTTTACATAAATCAATAATATCTACTATTACTGGTCTTAATAGAAGTAAATGATTTTTTTATAGAGTATGTTATAATGATTTTTTATTGATATATCTGATCAATTCATAAAATTGATTACTAGCTTAAATGAGCAATTGTTTTTGTGATTTAATTACATTGTAAACAAAATCATAATTTCTTATATATAAACTTAAAACAATAGTATAATGATGGATAATATTATTGCTTATATATATAATAGAAATACAAGTAGCAATACAAATAATATTACAAATGATAATAATATATAAGGCATATGGTTACCAATAATAGAAATAGATATTCATAACAAATAATAGAGTAGTTGACATCTTAATTAAAGAAGAAACTACAATACTAATGTATCTTTTATTTGCTAATGGAAATAGATCTGTTTAAATATCAACTGATCTTTTAGGTAATATATTTTCAAAAATAGGTTCCATAAATGGTGGTACTACTTATAATTCATCTTCTAATAGATTATCATATTCTTTTTTTATTAAACATTTCTCTTTTATCATAATCATTGTATAATTTAGATTAATAATTTTGATGAACAAAATAAAACAATAAAGCATACTAACAATTATGATATTTATGAAATAAAGTAAAATTATCATGAAAAAAAAGTAGATTGTAAATATAATGTATTATTATGTATCCCATACTGATATTTAATAAATAATATCAGCACTTATATAGCCAAGATAATTTGATAAATTAAAAGAACTATCTAAAACATTTGGTCCCAAATATGGTGACATTTGATAAGTAAATTATAGTTTAATCATAAGATAATCCATACATTCTTCTGTCTTTAATAAAACATTCTAGATCTCAATTATTTCTTATTCTATTTCTTTACTATTAAATAATTATTATTATTCTTTTTTTTAATTTAATTCATCTTTTTATTATTTATATAATTAAACTAATTGATATTTGTTAAACCATTTATTTTCTTGATTTTACCAAATTTACATTTATTTATCAAATACAAATATTTGTAGAAAATTAATCAAATAATTTAATATAATAATTAAACCTCCTATTAAAAGATATGCATAAATATTATATTTATAATTTTCTTCATAATCCTTAATTTCTATAAGTAATATATCTTCATTAGGTTTATCTTATTAATACTAATAATTCAATAACCAAAAATCAAAATAGTTATTATAATAAAGAGCAATAAATACTACTATTACAAACATGCAATACATAGTTTCTAATGATATCTTCCATAAATATTCTCTATATATTTTATGTAATGATTTAAAATACATTTCTCTCATTAAAATTAATATACACAATATCAATATAAGGGTTATTAAAAGAGCTATTTTGTGTCTTTAAGCTATTGGTGCAATAGATAACACATCTAATATAGGTTCTCCTAAAATAGTCTCTTCTTGAAGTTTTTTTCTTGGTAATTTAGCATTTGTTTAAGGTTTTTATTCATCTGGAATCTCTTCATATTTAATTTTATATGGAGATGGAGGTGGTGTATCATGAATTTTGATAGTCTTTTAAACTGCACGTTCTTCTTATTCATATAAAATTTAGTTCATTCTTGTTTAATCTGAAAACTAATCTTCTGGCATTGTATTTATAGCAGACTTTGTCTATGTCTATTAATCTAATTGTAATTGAGTTTTGAACTATGCTGTATGATTTTAAAGATAATTAGCATCTAAATGTAGAGTAGTTAAATCGATTGCTTAAGTCAAATTAAATAACAATAAAATAATCATTGCCTATAATAAAAACGTATATTCAATTATAATAATTCTAGAGACTACTTTGTATATAATGATGTACTTCTTTTGTCTAATCAAATCTCTTAGTTTATTTTGTCAATTTATTATGAACTGTAAAATTAGTATTATTTTGATCATGAATAATCAAAGTTAATTTAGGATGATCATATTCTGATTCTCCTCTTTTATCTCCTTTTAATGTAAAACCTTGAAGTCTTAAATAAATATGAAAATCATTCTCACAAGGTGGTTTACGATACCTTTATTATTAATCGAATTCTCTCAAAATCTAACAAACCCATTGTTCATTCTCTCGATTATATATATCTTTTGATACTAATTCCTTTAACAATTTCTTATATTCAATATTTTGAGTCTAAAAGATCTTATGAACAACTTATCTTATTGCATCTCTTAAATCTTCACGTTCCTTATACTTCTATAAGATCTCATTTGCTAATTTATTTTAATCAACATTAGATCTTTGATCATATTTTTCAAATAGAATCTTATCCTTTTCAATATATAGTTGATAGAATTATTAGAAAATTCCTAATGAAAATACAATATTAGACATATCACGAACAATAATAGTAATCACATTTTTAATTAGATTATAAAATGTTCCTTGCACATCTTATTATGTATCAAATAACTATTCAAACATCTTAAAATAGAAATTAGAATCTGTCAAAAATTCAGTTTAAATTACTACAGGTTACTCTAACTTTTCTATCTTTTTAAGATAAATATCAAATAGAAACTAACGAACCTTTTATTAATATATTTCATCCAATGATAATATGAATTTACTACATATCAATTTACTTACTGTCATTCTAAATCTATTTCTCACAACTACTTAAGCTAATCCTTTATTCTACAATATATATATTAATTCTTTATACAGAATTGAAATAAGATTCGTAATTCATTAATAATTCATCAACATAAGTGATATCAAATCTTTTAGGCTCCAATAAGACTTTTAATATAAAGTCTTAGACATCCTTTATTTCTTATGAATTTAACATCTAACAAATATTATTAATTGGTGTGTTTTCAATGAATCCAAGCCAAGTATCACGTATAAGTTATCTAAATTCTGTTTCTCTTTATGCCTTTTGATTAATTTATGAAATTTAACTAATAAAAGAATTCTTAAAACTATCACCTAATTACAAATGTTTTACCATTTGTTCATAAAACCTAGAAATTTAAATTATCATTACATTTTCTATACTTATTCACAATTTTAAGGTAAATAATAATTGTATGAGTTCAAGAATTCAAAGACTTTCGCTGTAGGCTTCATTTATAATAAATAATTGTAATATTTATATATGATTATAATTAGAATAATATCTATTATAAAGAATAAATAAAGAAAAACAAACTCTCTATAATTATTAGATAATATGGTGTGATATGTTAATCATTATTCTTATTCTGAAAGAGTAGTTCCTTCAAGAGCTTAAGATTGTTATTCTTATTTACTCTCTTATTCTAATTGATCTTCTCTAATAATGTTATCCAAATCAGTTTATAATTTGATCATAGCAGGACCCTTTTCAATTTCCTGAGTCATTTGTAAATAAGCATTATAGAATTACTTTGGTAAATGATCACCTGCATCCTATTCAAGAATATTTCCATTCAAATCAGTAACTGTATAAGAATATACTCCAGCATTATTGGATAAATCAATTACTTCACCCACAACTCCAGGAATATATTGTTCATTGGTTTGGACTAATGAAGCATGTTTCTTTGCTTTTTTATCATGTTTAGTCTCTTCTGATGTAATTTATGCCCAATGTTCTATTTAAATGAAGAAATCATACAAGCTTCCTTAGGGTTAAGATGATAATCAGAATCTCCAAAATTGACAAATTCCATGAAGGCACTATTGAAGACTCTCTTCTAATGAACTGCTCCATGAGTCTTTCTAACATGTCCAGCTTGAGTTGCTATTAGCAAAGCACAAAGAAGAAGGGATTTATACATCAATGATAATAATATTAATAATAATCGTTTTTACACTTTTTGCATATGGTAAATTATTTTAATTAATAAATAACTCAACTTTATGGATCCTTGGCTGTTAAAACAAATAAACTCATTAAACCAATCATTACAAATTTCAATGAAGGATAGTCATTCAATAATATAGTGATATATCCAACATATGGTAACACTCTAAAAAATAATTAATAAATTGAAACCCTTCTATTTTTCCCATGATATCTGATCTTTCTAACCACATCTATTTTCTTGGATATAAGGCTCTATCATCTACTTAATTATTATCACCTTTGGTTAATATTAATTAATCTAAAGGATCATCACTTCTATTTACTATATTATATGTATTCTTACTTCTATTAAATTTATAATACTCTATGCACAATTGGAATGTCTTAATCTTTGATTTTATAAACAATCACATCTCCAACCTCAAATGGTTTATTAAAGAAGGTTAAGAATAGTATATCACCTCTGTAATATGCAGGCTCCATTGATCCAGATAAAACAACAACAACTGGAGATTCTGAAAATGACACGACTTATAAACTCTTCCAAATTGATAATGCTGATCCTACTACTATTGCTAATGAAACTATTTGTAATATTATCTGTATGTATATCATTTTTCATTATACCTTTCTAAATTTCATGTGTCTAAATTCATCCACGTAGCCAAGTATTACATCCATTATTATTATTCTTAATAAATTTAATTACAAATTATATTCATTAAATAAATAGAAATAATTAAATTTCATTATGAATAGATTAGAGAGTCTTTTCTCTAATATTATTAATATTACTTTATAATTAATAATTAATAATTATAAGATATAAATATTTGGATTGAATAAATAATAATAATAATAATCATTTAATCAATTATTTAATAAAAGTTTATGCAATCTTTGTAATTTTAATTTTATCTATTTCACTCTTTTTAGTCCAATGAGCTACTTATCTTGCTGTTGCATAATATTTTTTAAGTATTCCTTCATTTTTACCAATAAAATTATAATATAAACTATCAAATAGATCAGTCCAATTATAAACCTATTTTTCAATTTTGATTTCACATTTTATTGATTTATTAAAATTACTCATTTTTTACATATAATTTGATGAACATATATATGGTCTTGTCATCATTATACCTCCATCTGCATGTTATGTCATACCAAACACATTAGGTGCCATAACCCATTCATAACTGTCTATATGAACTTCCATAAACCATTTAAATACTTCTTTTGGATTGATTTCTGATAATAACATTGTATTTCCTATATACATTAATCTTTCAATATGATGAAGATAGGCATATTTAATAACCTTTTAAATCATATGATCAATTGGTGGTAATTTAGTATCACCAGTATACCAATTATTATTCAATTTATTTTAATGATTAAAGAAATTAGCATTCATTTATTATTCACCTTCAAAAAAATAAAGTAATCTAACATATTCTCTCCATCCTATAACTTATCTAAGAAATCCTTCAACTGATTAAATAGGTGCTTTATTTTATTTATAATATTGTAATGTTTTATCAACAATAAGATTACTGGTAATTAATCCAATATTCATCATTGGAGATAAAATAGAATGATTAACAAATGGATAATCTGAATGAACTGCATCTTAATATGGTCCAAATTCATTTAATTTTTATTTTAAAAAACAATCTAACCATTCTTCAGTTGAATCATGATCTATAGGATAAATTGTATTTTTAATGTCACCAAAATTATTTGGAAAATGTTTAGTAATATAATTTATTGCTTCATCATAATAATTTGATTTTATTAAGTCAGGTTTTTTAGGTACTTTTGTTCCTGGTTTTAAGGGTTATCTATTTTCTGAATCATAAGTCCATTATTCTGGATCTTCTCCTTTTGGACCCATCAATATATTCAATCTTCTTCTTTACCATCTATAAAATGAAGAATCATGACTATAATTAGGTTTACCATCCTTTAATTTAACATATTCTTTATGATATTATTACAAATCATTTCTTGTACATAAATATGAAAGATTTTCTTTTATTTCACTTTGTATTCCTAATTATTATAAAATATTTTAATATTTTTATAAAACTGGTTTATCAATTGGATCATAAAAGTCACATTATGTTATAATAATTTTATCAGTAGTCTAAATAGATTCTAAAAATGCACTACAATTTTCATTTTAATCAATATATTATATACTTACATCTTTTAAATTATTCATTAAATAATCTTAATATGATTTCATAGTAGCTCTATGATAAACTAGTTTTAGTTTATGATAATTATATGCTCTAAAGTATTAATCATCCTCTATTAAAAATATTTTATTGTAATTTTTCAGAATATCGATGTTCTTATATAGATTAACAGGAAACAATAAGAATACTTTAGTCTTTGTTTCTACATTTAATTATCTTTTTTAAGAAAAAGTATTCTCATTTCTTTCTTTTCTAAGACTAAGTCTAAGTTTCTCTTATTTTTGATGTTTGATATTATTAATTGTAGTCATTAAATTAAATAAATGATAAACAGCTATAAATTTTTATAATTGGATTAATATAATATATATATATATCATTATTAATCTCTTCTATTTATTTATTTAGATATTTTTCCTACTTTACCAGATATATAAGTTTATTAAACAATCTACTTATTTTAATATTCTTCTTATTCTTATTGTCTCCATTTATTACCAATTAATTAAATTTCTTTTTCATATTATGCTAAAGTTGGTGGAGGTAAAACCTATTAAATTATTGATCCTATTATATAAATATATATTGATTAATACCTAATTCTTCATGATAAATTAACATTGAAAATTTAACAATATTTTTATGATTTGATTAACTAAGTGAAGCATAATCAAATCTTCCTCTTAAATCTGTATATCCATCTTTATGAAATGTCTCTTTATCATTTTTATCTTTTGCATATACTTTAACATAAACTTTAGATAAGTATTAACCTTATTAATTAAATACTCTTATTTATCCTGAATCTACCATTGTTTATACAAACAATGATGTTGGTTAATATTTACAAGTTACTTATTTTTATTAACCTTTTATTGTAACAAATAAATTCTCTTTTGAAATTTCTTTAGGTATTAAAATTTTCTATTAAAATATACTTAAATAATTAAAATATATATTATTACTTTTTTTAAATTTCTTAACCTTCAAGTTTATGATTTATATTTAGATTTGGTAAAACAATTGAAAAATCTTATATTATATTTTTCATAAATGGATTATTTGAGAATAGAATTTCAATATCCAATTTATAATATTCTATTTTTACTTCTGATAAATTTGAGTATGTAAGATTAATTGAATCTCCTTCTATTGAACCTGATAATGTTTCTTCTTTATTAATAATCTCTTATTATTTTTATTATTAAGTTATTTCTAATTTAGAGAATTAATTATCTTCTTCTCCATCATATTCTATCAATAAATTAATCATTTCATAAAACATATTTCTCCAATGTATAACAGGATAACTTAAATACTTTTTACATATATCTCTTCCTTTCTAAAAATTAGGATAACCAGTATAAAAATCTAAATATGCAGATAAATAATCAAATTATAATTAATATTCTTTTTATTCTTCTTCACTAATTTATTAATATACTTAAACAGCTTCATTTACTCTCTCTTATAATAATAAATAATAAATAAGAACTAATTTATCTAAAGTTGAAAATTAAGGCTTTTCTAAAAGATAAATTAAATATTTTGTATATTACTATCTAAATTATACATTTAATATATTATTCTCTCCTTTATAAAGTTTATGTACTCTTTTAATAATAAGTGGATAATATTCAAGAATTCTAATTTAATTGATTTCAAATAATGAACATTTAAAATGTGTAAAATATTATTTCAAAGCATTCTAAGCTTATTATGTCATGAATAATTCTTTTAAACATTCAATATTATTATGTAATAATGAATAAGCAAAACTATTAAAATCATAAAATTTTCTATTTCTATATATTTACATAACTTAATTATAAAATACTTTATTGTTAAATTTATGATATAATAATTTTGGATTAAATAATTTTGAATTGAAAATATTCTTATTCTCTATATAATTTATTATATCTTAATTATTATCTGTTAATAAAACTTCATTTATATTTTCTAAATTAACTTTTGTCTTTTCATCATAAACTTAAAATATTTTATCTTTTGCAATTTAAATGACTTTTCCAAGTTTTGAAATATTAGCTGGATATATTGTGAAATCTCCTTATTTAGGAAAATAGAAATAGTATTTTTAAATTTAAGTTTAATAAGGAGAAAGAGTTATTGTTAATGTTTTAGTTGAAAATGTTGTACTAACTGGAATTGAACCATTAGGAATTTCCATTAATAATTAAAAGGTTTAAGAAATTGCTGAACAATTAGAAACAACTACTTTACATCCATAAACCTTTTTTATAGAAAAATAGTTAAGATCTTCTTCCTCTTCATTATCTTATTACTCATTTATTTCTTCATTTTTAGGATCAAAAAAAGACTAATTAATTATTATTCTAGAATTAGGTTACACTTGAGCTTCTTAAATCTCCTTTATAAATATAAGAGCAGAAGTAGGATAAATTAATTCTATACCCTTATTTCCTATTTATTATTATATATATTTAGGAGATTAGAATGGTAAACTCATTAATGCTAATACACTTATGATTTCAGTGAAATTAGAAGTACAATACATAAATGAAGATGAAATGAAGTTTTAGGTGAAATACCCTTTTTATATTGAGTGATTGGCTAAATCAATGTAAAAATCTGACACCTTAATCAAATTTTTAAATTATGTTTAATTTATTCCTACACTATAATGTTTCTCACAATATTCTTTAGTAGCTTCAACTTTTTCAAAAGATTAAATTAAATTGTCACGCATGGAATTATAATTTCTGAGTCCTTTTCCTTTAGAAACACATCCGGCTGTAGATTTCCTGGCTGTTTATCGAGTTCTTGATCCTCCACGAGAGTAAACAATATTTTTTTAATCATTTTTCTTATTTTTATGACTAATACTTCTACTAATACTTCTATTAATACTCAAATTCAAACTTCTACTACTATTACTATCACTACTATTATTATCACTACTATTAGTATAACTAATACTATCCCTCTCCACATCCTCTTCATCATCCCTATCATGTCGAGAGCGTGATTTAGCTTTATCTTTTTATTTTATTCGAGATTTATCTTTGAATTATGATTCAGAACTTTTTATTTAACTTTATTTTTCTTATTCTTATTCTTAACTTTTATTTTTTTCATTTTTGATTTCTTTTTCTACTCCTAAGATTGTATCAAAAAGCAATTTATATTTATCATCATCCTATTTATTTGCAATTGTTTTAAAGTTTTATTATAAATATTTAGCCATAATCTAAGCTTCTTCCTGCTTTTCTGCTATTTCTTAATTATAAATTACAAGAAGTGCTTATTCCAACCCATTTAATTATTAAAATAATTAGACTTATTCATATTTCTAAAGAGCTTAATGATCTTAAAGTAGAAAGTAATCTATAAAAGATTTTTCTATTTTATTTTTAATATGATCCAGTATCACTGTTTCAAAAAATTATTAGTCCTTCATATAGAGAAATAAATTTAATTCATCACATTAATATTAATTATAAAATTTCTATTTAAACTGAAATGTTTCTCTATCCCATTTTAAAAGATCAGATATAATTATTAAATCCTATTCTTTTATCTTTTATTTATTGATTCTCATTAACTCTTTCTAAATATTAAATAATAAATTCAAAGAGTCTAATTAAAATATTTCTGTTGATATTATGTCTTATATTTAAAAAGGAGTCTATGGGATGATTTCTTTTGTACTTCTAAAAGTAGAATAAAATTTATTCTTCTCCAATTAAGATACATGACATAGATCTTTTATTTAAATTTAATTATTCTATAATGGTAGTACTTTTATACTATAGTTATCATCTTAATATGCTAAAATCACAACTGTTGAATAATGTACTGGAACTTCAAAGGAATAATGATTCTTATCCTTATGAATATTTGTTATTACTCTGCCAGAATATTTTAAAAATTCACAAAAAGAATCAAAACTTTATTGATGATATGATGATAGTCCTGATTTTCTATAAGCTTTTGATGCTAATCTCTAATTGTGTTTTTATTTTGATAAATTATGCAAAGCTTATTTCAATTATTCTTCTTAAGTTTCAGTACAATCAGTAACAAATCGATTTAATAAGATTTAAGGTTTTTCAAGAGTATTACCCACATATTTTGGTTAATTTTTTCTTTCAATTATATATCCTAACTCATCTGATTATTTTAAATTACACAAATAAATATTATTTTTAAATTCAATTTTAAGACTATTGTCAATTACATAATTAGTCATAATATTTTGCATTTATTTATCAAAGCTATTTATATCAGGATAGAAAGTAGTTGCTATTGCAATTAAATGATATTCCTTATCACTTAATATATCACCTTTAACCAAAATATTATTATCATTCTGTTAGGTTACAATATTATTTAAATACAATTCTCTTTCATATTATTTTTATATCCTTTCATTTTATGTATAGAGGAATTCTTTAGATTATTATAAAGTATTATCAATAACTTTGAATTTAAAAGTATATTATTCATTTAATAATTATAGTAAGAATTCACCTTTCTAAGTGAATTAAATAGTTATTTAATTCTCTTCAAATTAAATCATATTTCTATGATTTTTAATTGGAATTATTTCAGATTATGATGAAAGTTTTATTTAATAAAACTAAACATTTTCTAATTTAGTAGAGAATGGTAAAGTAAGTGTTTATCCAAAATTAACAGATAATTCAAAATATTTTTAGTGAACATGAAATTGATTAAAGATGTTCCATTCTTATTTTAATATCTAATAATTAGTAGAAAGGACAGATGAATTTATATTTTCTATATTAGGTAGAAATCCTAATTTGATTTATCCATTTTAATCAGTTATAAGATTTTCTTTGATCTAATCATTAATGAAAGAGTGTTTAAATAAAACTTAAACTTAAATATTTTTGATAGGTTCACCATTCTTTCCTAAAACAAATATTGAATATCCATCTATATCATTAAATCTTAGCAATTATTTTATAAATATTTATTCTTATATATTATTTTAAAGTTGAATATTAAAAGTTTATTATAATACTAAATCTTCTTTTTTGTGTAATTATTTAATTTTACCTTATACATCTACTTAAATATTTACTAATTTTTAATTAATATGAAATTTAAATTCTAATGGGATTTAGCTTTCAAAAGAAATGTCTTTAAAGTTGAATGTTTAAGGAACACCTTTTTCATTTTAACATGATATTTAAACTTAAGCATCTTTAAAAATTCCAAATCCAATATCAGTATTATTCAAAATTAATTTAGGAATAATAATAATTGATGCATCTTATCCTAATTATATTTATTCATTTGCCATAATGAAACTACAAATTAATTTAAATTATTCAGGTTTTAAAACAATAGTCTCCTTTTAATAGAAATCTTCATATTAAATAATAGCTTAATATTCGATTTCCTCATCAGGGAATGGTATTATAATTTCACCTTTAATCAAATTATAAAAATTTTGATCAATCCATAATCCAATTTTATCATCATATAATTTCTCAAATTTTTCATTGAATATCTCATACTTATATCCAGCAGATACAATTTGTTATTTTAAACATAATCGTCCTTTTTCAATAATTGCTCTTGAAGATAATCCATTTCCAATAAATTCAATAATAAAGGTTCCTCTTTAAGTTTTTTAAATAGATTCAAAAGAAAATTCTTTGATTACTTTCTTAATAGGAGGATAATCATATATAAAATTAATTTCTTCTGTTGGAATAAATCCATCCAAACATAAATTTGATGTTAATTATTCACTTTTAGCCATATAAAAGTTTTTCATATTTATTTGAAATATTTTAATAGTCAAACTTTAAATATTCTTTAATTCAACAAATAATTAAACAGGTTCTCCATGTAAAAAATAAGGTTTATTATTATCACATAAATACAAAACCTTACTATTGTTCATCTATTTTATTTCATTATTTGAAAAATATGTATTTAAATCTTAAACTTCATCTCCTTAATATAAACGACATTTAGTTCTCTATTCCTTCAAATAATAAGATTCCAAATATTATTCTAATATACTATAATCTTAATTTGATTCAAAATACTTTTATAAATACTTTTCAATTAATTAATTAGTATTCATCCCTAATTTTATTTTATAAAATATTTACATCTATCAGTTTTATATCCATGCCATCCATCCCAATTAGATTAAAATTCATTTCTAATTTTATTTTGCATATCCCTATGTTATTTAGTTATATTTTAATAAATTTCTGTTGGATTTTTTAGATAATCTAAAAATATATCAAAATCATAAAATTAAATTTCAATTCCTATTATAATTCAAAATAAATATTTACCAAATTAAAGTAATTCTCTCCTTATTATCTGTCTAAGAGAATTAAATTTGTCTGGTAATTATTTTGTCCAATTGTATGATTCATTTAAATTTTATTATATAATTTTATTTTACTCTATATTGAATTATGATACTTAAATGTTCTAATCTAATCTAAATTTTTTAAAAAACAAATTCCCTAAAAAATAATAATTCTCTAAATATTTTCTATTTAAATTTATTATCTCTTCCATTTAATCAATAGTTAATAATTTGAAGCAATTACTTGAAAAATTAAAGTCTTTTTTTGCTATTAATTTGTTGAAAAATTAGGGAACATTATCATTTAAAATTAATCCCACTTTTTTTTGGCATAATTAATTAAAGAATATTTCAATAACTTTATTAGGAGCATTAATTAATTCTTAAAGATTTAATTAAGAAAAAAGATTAACAGATAATTTATTGATTCCCTTTTCTGTATAAGCATCCTTTAGATAATCATCCAAAATCAATTTATTATTGTCAAATTATGAAACTAACTCTTTTACTTATACATTAGTATTAAAAACATTTGATTACTAAATTAATCATTTAAATTACATTTATAGAAATATTTGAAGATAAATCTTCAAAGTTGATTTTAAATAATTTCTTGTTGATTTTTTACAAAATTTCTGTTTGTTTTTGAATCATTTCTTCTGTTTGCAAAGATTCATTTATAAGATTATCATATTCAATAAACAAACTTCTTAAACGAATCTTCTAATAATTAATAGTTTTCATTTATTTATAATGTTTAAAATGTTCTTATTCTATTGAACTAAGTTAGTATCCTTTCTAATTTAAGATATTTAGAAAATATTAATAATAGTATTGATCTGATCCTTTAATCAATTTTGATAATCCATTTTCCTTTGAAATCAAGACAGCTTACTCTAATTGTGTAAAATCAAAGTCCAAAGTATCAGAATTATTATTCTTCTAAAAACCATTATAACTTTCTTCTATCATTTTTATTTTTATTAAATCAAACAAATTTTTTTTACTTGCTTTTCAATATCAAATATCCCCGCTTAAATAAAATTATCAATTGATTTAATACGAATATGGAATCTATTTGTTATAATTACTTTAATGGAATATCCTTTTTTACTTATATTTTGAGAGCATAAATTAATAATAAAATTTATAACAGATATATAAATTTAAATTTGCTTCTACTATTAAAAATACAAAATTCCAATAGATATGTTAAACATCTTACTCCAACTTAGAAATCTATACATTTTACAACTATTTAGTTCCCTTTTTCAAGGATCTTTAATTTAATTATAACTATGATGATTATTATATATATATTAATTCAAGATTTAATAAATATATATTATATATTAAATAATTAATATTATTTATATGATCTTTATCAATTTTTAATTTCATCATATAATTGCTGAATGATTGCTTGATAATGTTTCTTTGCTACATGTCTTTGCATTTTCAATGTATCTGTCAATATACCAACTTATTAAAAAGGTTTTGATTCAAGATATATATTTTTAACTTGTTCATATCCATTCAACAATTCTTTAGATCCCTAAAATAATTTATTTATTAACTTATTCAATTAATTAAGATAGCACATATGATCTTAATTCTTTATTTGCACATAAGGTAATATGATCACCTTCAATTTTCAATGTATCTGCAAATTATTTAAGAACTACTGGATCTACTACTACAACTCCTACACAATAGTTTTATAAAGAATCCCCAAAAATAACTAATTCTGAAATCCCTTTCAATCTCAAATAACAATTTTCTACTTTCTCTGGAGATACATATTCACCCTATGATAATTTAAATAAATTTTTTTTCCTATCTATTATTTTTAATGTTCCATTTATTATTTAACCTATATCCCCTGTATGTACCCATCCTTCATTATCAATTAATTCTTTAGTTTATTATGGATCTTTAAAGTATCCTTTGCTTATACTTGGTCCCCTGATGCAAATTTCACCTCTCACTTAACCATCCACACTTTCATCTGTAACATAACCCATCTCTGGTATACTTACTAATTTAAATTCTTAAGAAATTGTTGGGCCACCTACATGACCACAATTTGGATCAGAGATATCTGTTATAAAAGATCCTCCCATTGATTCTGTTTAGCCATATACTTCTACTATTTGACAACATAAAGTTATTTTTAAAAAGTTCAATACTTTTGTTGAAATAGGAGCAGCTCCAGTAAGAATTATTCTTTGTCTTCCACCTAAAATTGCTTTAGTTTTTATAAATGCAGCATCTAATTATTCATGATAGGGTTTTCCAGTTTATTAAAAATAATTTAATTTCATCTCAAAAGCTTTATCAAACTTTTCTTTTACTTCTGGAGGTAAAGAATTAACAACATTTTGTATTCCATCATAAAATCTATTGAAAACTCTTGGAACTCCTCCAAAGTAAGTTGGTTTACATCGTTAAATATCTCTAGCTAAATTTTATATGTTTCCACTATAATAATTGATTTCTGCAGATTCTAATAATGCACCCAAATGAAGGACTCTTTCAAATACATGAGGTAAGGGCAAGTATGATAAATAAACATCATTTTCAGTAAATTTCTAATCTGGAGGATAATCAAATATATGCATCATTTATTAAAAATTATACTAACTTTAAAGAGTTGCTTTGGATTACCCTGTAGTTCCACTTGTAAAGATTAGGGTCATCGAAATATCTGGTTATAAATTTGGATATGGAACAATAGCTGTTTTACCCTTTTCCAAAATTTAATTCCATGTTACAATCTCCTTCCCTTGTGCTCTTAACTTATTTAAATCTTCTTCCTAGAAACCTTCACCTACTATTACAATGGTTTTCAGATAGGGTTAATCAACATCTATTAGAACTTTTATAGTGCTTGATTAGACAAAGCAAATACTAATTTTAATAATTATTCACATACCTAACTTAAGTTTGTTCCAAAGAATATTTAATACTGTTTAATCCTAATGTATCATAAAACGGACAGGATGTAAATCCATAAAGGATACATGCAAGATCCAAAATGGTCCATTCTCTTCTGTTGGACATATATATGCCCACAGGTTTAATAGTATATCCTTAGTCATCTTTTACCTCTATGATTTAATCTCTAGAACAAAGTTCAGAGCCAATTGCAGTAGCAGTTTCAAATACTTCCTACTTATCTTAGAAATATAAACTTTATATGTAATTTAATCATATTATTGGGATTCTTCATTGTATAAACCAAGAGTTTTCTTATTGGGACATTTTTATAGATTTTCAATAAATTATTCCTATAAGGTAAGTTTAAATTAAGGAAAGCCATCCTAATATAAATTTGTTAAATCACTTTAGCACTTGGATGTCGATAGATTGGGGTTTCATTTTCTTTAGCATCAGATACTTTACAAAGATATTCTCTAATTTGCATCATGATATTTTTAATATTTAAATTATGTTTATATTTATAATTGCATTAAATAAATATCTTATAATTCTTATTATAAAAGGCTGTTTTGTCTATATAATTTAGATATCTTATATAATGCATTTTCATTTATTCAAACAGAGATTTATAGAATTCTTAATATTTTATTCTAAGAATTGTTATTATTATCTATATAATTATTTATAAGTAAAATTATAACTATTTTTAATTTGTGAAAAGCAAATTTTTAATAATAAGTTGCATCTTATAGAATTTAAGGTATTAAATTATTAAGAATTAAGAGAGATGTTTTTTGATTCATATATTATTATTTTTATTATTACAATCTCTCTTAAGGTAGTATTAATTCGAATAATTTAAACTAGATTAATAATAAGTAAAAAATATCAATTTTAAGGAGTATAATAAATTTATAAACTAGAATATATAATAAATATTAGATATTGTTTCAAGATGGCAAATAATTATTGTAATATTTTATGAGATTTCTTTTGAATATCTATTTTAATTAACAATTAGAATAATATATAAGAGAATATGTAGATGAGAAAGATATTAAATGGTTTTGATATTGAACTTAATTCATATTTTAAAATATTGAATAGAGAAATTATTAAAGTATAAACTTCTGTTAATTCATAAATATTGATTCGTTTTAGTAATAAATATTATATTTAATATATATGAGCTTATTTAGATCAGAATAGATGGAATATTATAATCTAGTTATTCCAAGAGAGTCAGCATGGGATGTAATGAACACTTTAGGATATTTTGATAGCGTTCACATAATTGATTATGATGCGACATTACCTTAAATAAATAGGCCATTTTCAAATTATGTGAAAAGGTATTTCATTTAGAGATTAAAGATGTGATGATGTGATGTAGAAGATTGAGTAGATTGAAGCTGAAATGAGAAATTTTAAGATTGAAAAAAGATATTGTCCAGATGTGATTGATCTATTAAAAAAGAGAAATGGAAGTCATAAATAATTTGAAGAATTAGAATAAGATATATGTAAAGTAGCAGATGATTTGGAACATTAATAATAAACATTAACTAGTTTATAAGAAAAAAAAAACACTATAAGAGAGAATTTGGAAGTATTAAAAAACGCTGTTGCATTTTAAAATGAGGATTCAGAAGAAGCTAGTTTATTAGGTTTTTAGAAGATGGTGGGAGTAATATTAAAAGAGGATGAGTTGAGATTTAAAAGAATAATCTTTAGAATAACAAAAGGAAATATACATGTAGAAATTATGGACATTCAAGAACATTTCATATAATAAGATAGAAGAAGTGTATAGAAATGTGTGTTTATGTTATTTTATCCTTGTGGAGATTTGACTTAAAAGAAAATTCTAAGAGTGATTGATTCATTTTCATGTAATAAGTTTGATATCCCTACATCAAGTGAATAACATGCTTAAAGAATTACTATGTTAGAAAATTAATTGATTGAAGCAGATTAATTGTTACATTTGACAATTACTTAAATTAATAAAAGGTTGCAAGATTTGGTTGAAGTTAAATATAATTGTTCTTGGATTGAAGAAATGAGAATCTTAATAACAAAAGAGAAGTATTTATATATGAATTTGAATATGTTAAATATGACAAATTCTGTATTTCATGGATAGATATGGTTACCATAAGGTTAGGATTAAAAAATTTAATAGGCTTTAAGAAACTTGCATGGTAATGATAAATAATTACCTAGTGGTTAAATCTAAGAATAATAAACTTAATTAACTCCTCCTACTTATTATAAATTAAATTCATTTACATATCCATTTTAAGAAATTGTTAATACTTATGGTATACCAAGATACAAGGAAATTAATCCAGGATTATCTACTATAATAACATTTCCATTTTTAGTTGGTGTAATGTTTGGTGATGTTGGTCATGGGTATAATATATTAAATTATTAAGAGTTTGTTATTGTTTGTTTGTGGATTGTATCTCACAACTGAAGATGCAAGAAAATCAATCTTTTCTGGACTTATACCTATGAGATATATGATTCTACTTATTGGATTCTTTGCTTGTTATAATGGACTTATTTATAATGATTTTCTATCTATTGGTTTAAATTTATTTGGAAGTTGTTATAATTTAGTAGATGGTGAATATGAAATCAAAGAAGATTGTGTTTATAAATTTGGAATAGATCCTGCATGGGGTTCTTCATCCAATTAATTGACATTTATGAATTCATTTAAAATGAAATTAGCAGTCATTATTGGAGTCACTCATATGACTTTTGGTATTATTTTAAAAGGATTTAACACAATACATTTCAATAATTATATTGATTTCTTTTGTGAATTCATTCCATAATTCCTTTTATTGATATGTAGTTTTGGTTATATGGATTTCTTATTGTTTTTGAAATGGTGTACAAAATTCGAAGACACAAAGGATGCACCTAGTGTAATCACAACAATGATTGACATGGTTCTAAGACCTTTTGATGTCCCTGAAAAACCATTATTCGAATCTGGAGAGTAATAGAGATCCATATAATTATTATTATTAACCATCATTGCTTTCTGTATACCAGTTATGCTGATTACAAAACCACTTATTTTTAGTTTAAATAAGAAGAATCATCCATATCAATAAATACCATCTTAAATACCTGATGATGATGCTAATCCAGAATAATTACAAAATGATATGTAAAAGGATTAGTCATAACCACATAGTAAAGTGTCTATTTAATAACATAATGAACATGATGATATAGGTGAATTAATAGTCCATTAATGTATAAATATTATTAATTATTTATAGCCATCGAAACTATTGAATTTGTTTTAGGAAGTGTTAGCAATACAGCATCTTATTTAAGATTGTGGGCATTATCCTTAGCTCATTCATAATTGGCAGAAGTCTTTTTCTCTATGACAATAGCCAGTCATATTGGGGAAGGAGGATTCTTTGGAACTATTGGAGTAATTATTTTTTATTTAAATTTTAGTCTATTGTACAATTTCCAGGATTTGCTCTAGCTACTTTTGGAGTATTGATGTGTATGGATCTTATGGAGTGTTTCTTACATGCTTTAAGATTACAATGGTATTTAATTTAATTAATATTTATTAGGGTTGAATTCTAAAGTAAATTCTACAAAGCTGATGGATATATGTTTAAAGCATATTCATTTACAAATATTAAAAGTAATGAATAAGATGATTGATATCTAAATATCATAAAAAAATATTAATCAAATCATAATCATCAATATTAACATCGGTATTAAGTATGTATAGATTGGCCATTGCCATCTCTCAAATAAACCAATTCTCTCTTTTTTGTAAGCTATCATAGCTCCATATTCTAAAGCATATTTCATTGGTCCTGTGAAAGTGAATTTTGCAAAATGAGCATGATCCCAAATTTTTTAATGTTTCTAAATTTAATATAAAAATGCCATTGTCAAAAAAAATGTAAATCCATATAACACTTCATCAAATCCAATATCTAAAGCTGCAGTTTCTGCTTATTTAAAATATTTTGCTATTGATCTAGGTCCAAAATAATGTTGACTCTTTTTAGTTTTGTATATAGGATCATCAAAATAACTAAGTTTTATCCATTTTGCTTATTGTACTTCATTTTCAGACAATTTCATTTGATCTGTCTTTTTCTCAGGATCATTAATAGCTATTACAAAAGCACTGCAATATAAAGATTTATTATTTTTCAATTTCTTCATAAAAGCATTCTTAGATAATCTAAATACATAATAACATTCTAATTCATTTAAATTAATTCCTACTTCTTCATGTACTTCTCTTATAGCAGCTTATAAATCAGTTTCATCATTATCACATTTACCTCCTGGGAAAGCAATTTCACCACTATATTAATCTCTTTTTGAGTTTTATCTTTAAATATAAAGTATTTCAATATCTTCTTATTCTTGAAATTTAGTTGATTAAGGATTATTGATATTCAATTAAGAATATCCTTATAATGGTTTAAATTATCCTCTTAAGAGTATACAAACTGCAGATTGAGCAGTAGTTTAAGTATTAGTATATGGTTTATATTATGAAGGTGGAATTAAATTTAGCATATGATAATTATTAATATACAATTATTTAGCATAAAATAATAATGTCATTAGATTAATATAACATTTTGTATATGTTCTCCAGGTATAACAACACTGCCAACATAATATTTATCTTTCATAAATTGATCATTGAATGCTTTGGCTTCATCAACCTTTATTTATAATTCTTATTTTGTATCTTCAGTTGCTTTATTGTAATTATTATAAGCTTCTCTAATTGATTCATCATTTGTAAAATATTTGGCTGGAAATTAAGGATTATAATGAAATTCAATATCTAAATCCAATGGTGAAGGATGAGTGGCAACAGAGTGTTAGAGTATGATAGAAAAAGGTGAGGAAATACATGAAAGTACTCCATAGATGACTCTATTATCTGAACAAATGACTTTGACACTTTTATTCAAGTATTAAGATTGATCACTCATTTAATTAATTTAATATTTCAAATGTCATTTATCTTCATCTGATGAGTCTTCATCATTACTACCTTTTCTAACTTTGATCATACCATATCTTAAAAGTCTATAAATATTATTTCTTTTATAATTTACATATGTGCTAAAGTACCTGTTTCAAAAGTGTCTTTACCTCCCATTTCTTCAAAACCTACAATCCTATTTTTTAAAACTCCATTCACAAATAAACATATTGTAGGTAATACTTGAATTTATAACTTTCCAACAAAGAAAGGTGCCTTTTCTGCATTCAAACAATAAAATTTGGTTTCAGGATGTCTATCAATAAATATAATAATATTTACTATTATGATATAGCTAATAGATGTTTATCCATTATTTTACATCTTTCAAAATCACGATGAAAGAAATGAACAACACTAAATTCAGATTTAGTAACAGATGGTAAGAATTCTTCTTCAACTATTTCTCTATATTCTCCAAATCCTTTATTCTTTTTAAGCATAGCCTCTTATAATTCTTTAGCTCTTTGTTCTCTCATCTTTTTCAACATCTCTTTTAAATCTTCATCATCACAATCATCTTCATCTTCTTCCTCATATTATCTTCTTGCTGCTCTTCTTCTTTCCTCTTCTTATTATTTTGCCTACTATTCTTTCATTTTATCTTTTAAGGCTCTCTCCATTACAGATTCAACCAACATATTACCCATCAATGAATTACTCATTTTTATTTAAATTTTAAACTAATGTTAATCAAAACAAAAATTGTATTAATATTTACATAAAAAAATATCTCAATCATTCTTCTTCCTCATCTTTTACTTTATGTTTTTACATATATAATCTAACCAATTATTTGGTTTTTAACAATCTTGTTTATGTAATCTAGATTATAGGTTTCAATGGATTGAATTTCTAATGATGAGATCTATTCAATTATTTAAAAATCTCACCTACACTAACTAGGTGTTCTTGTTCCTATTATTTAACTCATCCTTTTGAATAATCTTTGACCCTTGCTATGATTTGCATTCTCTTGTAAAAAGCGAAGATATGATTCGTGTTCTTCCTAATTCCAATGGCCTGCTTTCTTTTAAATCTTTTTGGAACTCTCCTGCATATCGCTTTAAGATTTTGTTACTTCTGAATCGTTCAATGGCATTACTTTGATATTTAAATAAAATATATATTCCAAGATTTTATTAGTATTCTGAATCATTCAATATCATACATCTGTTTATTCAGATTTTCAAATCTAAATTTCTTATATTTTGCTCCATCTTCTCTACATATTCCCATTCTCTTCATTTCTTCCTTTTGGCTAATCTCTTCTTTTTAAATAGAATCCTCAGAACTTTTCAAATTTCTAATTAAGAATTTCTTATCATACACATTAACTTTTTTATATAATACAATAAACATATAATAGTATTTGTTTTCGGATTATTATCTCATTAATAGGAGATAATCGAAGCTAGAATACTATCTATTTTAATCTTAATTTAAGAGTGAACGTAATTGACATTATTGCCTCAATTATTTATTTATACTCTCAAATTAATTTAATTTATCTTTTTAATATTTAATATAATCCACTTTATATCAATATAAATAATGAAGAATCAATCCTAATTAATCGGTGCTCCATATAATAGTAGTACAATATCATTACTTTGAGATCTAAACAATATTGAACTTTGCCGAAATTTTACAGGATTTTATTATGCTATATAATTTTCCTTAACAACCCAACCCAAAAAGCATAACGTAACCGTCTCAATTATTATGAATAAAATAAATATTGATATTTTTGTTATTACGAATATTTCTGTGTTTATTCTATTCTTAAAATAAAAACAATTTTAGTTAAAATCGAAAAAAAAATAGTAGATTTACACTCCGATATGATAGAGACTCAACAAAAAGATTATGATTACAAAACCTTGATAGATAGTAAGTTAGCACATCTTGGCCCTTAATCTGATTTGCTATTGAAATTTTTTAGCAATTTTTTTTTATTAAATTAGTATTTCTAATAAGGTAATTGCAAAAACTCCTGTATACATGACTAAATCAACATATAAATATTGTAATTTATCATCGTTAAAAAAACATTTTCCATTTATTGATGTTTCTAGTGATACAAATGTTATCATAGCAATTAAAAAAAAAATCATATTCCTCCTTCTCTTCTTTCTCTTTTCTATATTCTTTGACAAAAATAATAATCTGTCAATTTCATTACTCTCCTCATTGATTTACATATATTTATTTACTAAATAATTTAAATAAATAAAATATTAAATAACAATCCTACAAAAAACTGCTAATTCAGTATCAATTAAACTGGCTTTGAATTTCATTTTTTATATTAAAATAATCTTCAATATTCTGTATTTATTCATTAATATTATATTATGAACAATTTATTCCATATATCAATTTAATATAGTATTAAAAGTTCAAATCAGTATTTACTCATTCCAATAAGTTTTGAATTTAGTACATTTCATAAGAGATGTGTATTTATTAACTGAATCCAAACTTGTATTAAAAACTTTTAATGAATAAATTGTCTTACTCATAATTATGATATTTTTATTATAACATCTATAGAAGGATACTTCAGGAATAGGTTTTTTTATAAACAGTTATAACTTGTTTAAGTTAAATATTAGTAAAAAAAGTAAAATATGTAAGTATTTTAAAAAAAAGTAATTAGAATTTTAATAGTTTAGAGTATAAAATCTAATGCTCTATTTTAAATGGGTATTTAAATAAAATTACTTATGAAGAAGATATTTTAGTTGATAAAAAATGAATTGTATGCATAAAATTCTTGTAATTGTTAGTTATCTAATCCATCAATATTAAAAAAAGTATATTTGATATTAATGATAAAAAATATATCTATTATTTGAAAAGATTATATTTATATTGAGAAATAATAACAAAATTTATACATTCTTCTAAACAATAATTTACTATCATATTAATTAGTATGGTTTAAGAAAATATATTAAATAGATATATAATTTTATGTTTGTTATTTAGTTTAATAATTTAATATAATTGTAGCGATTGAAATTCAAGTCATATTTAATAGTTTATATGAAATATGTTTTGGGATAAAGATTAATATTTATAATTTGTATAATGATTTTTATATAGTTAATATAATTATAATGATGAAAAACTTTACTGTTTTCGAGAAATTGGGTGAAGGTACTGTTATTTCAATAAATATCAATTAATTTAGGTTCATTCTCAACAGTGTTAAGAGTAAAGAGGCAATCTGATCAATAAGAATATGCAATGAAAAAAGTGAGAATGGGATAATTAAAGGAGAAAGAGAAAGAGAATTCACTGAATGAGATCCGTATTCTGGCAAGCATTTCACATCCGAATATCATAGGATATAAGGAAGCATTCTATGATGAACAATCTCAAAGTCTATGTATTGTAATGGAGTATGCTGACTAAGGTGATTTGTAATAGATGATCTAATAGCATATTCATTAGAAACAATTTATCTAAGAAATTGAGATATGGAAAATGATTTACTAAGTGGCAATTGGTATTCAGTTAATTTAATTCTTAGCTTTGCGAACGTTACATTAAATGAAAATTTTACATAGAGATTTAAAATCAGCGAATGTATTTCTACATTAAGGTAATTATAAATTGGGAGATATGAATGTATCAAAAGTGGCCAAAAAGGATTTGGTTTATACATAAACAGGAACTCCTTATTATGCAAGTCCTGAAGTATGGAGAGATTAACCTTATGATGCTAAAAGTGATATTTGGAGTTTGGGTTGTGTTGCATATGAAATGGCAGCACTTAAACCACCATTTCGAGCATAAAATATGGAAGGATTATATAAAAAAGTATAAAGAGGATTATATGAACGAATACCATCTAAATTTAGTGGTGAATTAATGACAGTAATTGGATTATGTTTATAAGTACAAAGTAAATAAAGACCTACTTGTGCTTAATTACTTAACAATCCTATTTTATTAAGAAATGCTAGATAATATATTATAGAAAGTAGAGTTTCATAATAGACTTAATCTTCTTAAGCTGGTTCAAATATACTTTTATAAACAATAAAATTACCAAAGAATCTAAAATAACTTAAAGAGAAATTACCAAAATCAAAATACTTTATTGAAAGTGTCAATAAATCTTATGATTAAACATAAGCTAATAGTTCATTCCTACCAAAAATTAATAACCCTAAAGAAATTAGACCTAATTGTTCAGTACCACCTATTAAAAGTGATAGATATCAATAATAATAATTACAATAGAATTCTTTACATGAAGAACGATCTAAATCAATTGTCAATTCAGTCCAACTATTAGAAATGGAAAGGATTAGATAAAAAAGATTATTGGAAAAATAACAAAATTTAAAGATCAGTATCATTCATCAAAATGCTATTCCTTATATAAATAGTTCTTCTTCTTAAATCCAAAATTTATACGCTAACAAGCAACACAATATGAGAGATGCTCAAAAATAATATGTAGAAGCACCAAAACCAATATGGTGGGGATGATAATGTAATCTAATTATTTTATTGACTCTCAATAATATAAATGATAAATTATATAATCTAAAAGTAGAATTAACTTAATATAAATTAATATATAAAGTTGTTCACTTAATAAATCAATTTCTTTTTTATTTATTTTATGATTAATGTTTTTAATATTATTAATTATATATTAAATGTTGTTTTCAATTTAAGATAAAGATAAATTTTTAATACAGATTTAAATAAAGTATACAATTTTATATTTATATATTATATCTATAATAAGGGATAGAATTAAATAGAGATGTTTATTTTAATATAAAATCAAATTAAAAATAAGTATAAAACACAATGATATTAATTATTAAAATAAATGAATGAACAATTTCGAAAGTTTCTATTAAATCAAGAGAAATCTGATGTTTAATAAAAGAAGTCAGATAGTGCACCTTAAATTAGATTAAAATTATAATCTAAAAGGAAAACTAATGTGGATTTGGGTTTAGAAACATTTGTATAAAAGAAAGTAAAATAAGATGAAAAAGAAGATAAGAAACAACCAAATCTTATGGAAAAATTATAGATGAATCCTATCGATTTAGTAAAATCAACTAAATAATATTCTTATGGCAATTATAAAAAATATTATCATCTAAGATTATAACAAAAATGGGAAGATCCTAGATTAACAATTTTAGATAGTATTTATTTTGAAAATAAATCAATTCTTGATATTGGTTGTAATGATGGAACTTTGACTTTATTAATTGCACTTAAGTTTAAAATTTATTAATTTCAAAGGCATTATCCTAAATTGATTAGAGGAATAGATATTGATTATACTTTGATTAATAAAGCAATAGAGTAGATGGTCCATTTGGATGATTAATAAAAGAAAATTTAGAAATAAGAATTCAAACCAATTATTGAGGATTTACCTGTTAGTTTTCATAAATATATGGAATAACCTAGTTAATATTAATTATAATATTAGTGTCTAAAGCAATTGAATAATAATATATTCATTAGACTATAGAAGATATGAATAAATAGAATGAACATAATAATAATAGTATTTTATTTAATTAGATAGCAAAGAACAATATATTTCCACATAATGTTTATTTTCGAGTATAAAACATTATTGGTAATAAAAAATATGATGAAAAATATGATACAATATTATGTTTATCAATTACTAAATGGATTCATTTGAATTTTGGAGATATAGGAATCAAGAGATTATTTAAGACAATTTCTAATTTTTTGAATGTAGGTGGTCATTTAATTTTGGAACCATAAGAATGGAAGAGTTATAAAAAGAAGAAATATTATAGTTCTGAATTTAAGTAAAATTATAAGGAAATACAATTAAAACCATAAGATTTTTCAAAAGTATTGGAGAAAGAATATAATTTTAAATTAATATAATAGATAAATCCAGATGATGAGAGTGCAATAAAGAAATCTAAAAGTACATTTAGAAGACCAATTTTAATATTTGAAAAGTAGAATGAGATTTGATATAAAATCTTTGTAAAATTCATAACATATATATAAAATCATCCTCTATTAACAATTCATTATCATTTTTTGGAGACTATGCTAATTTATCAAAAGCTATATCAATATAAAAATGTATGTATACCAATAATGGATAAGTTTTCTTAAAGGATTTCATCTTATTTATCTTCTATAGGTTGAATAGATTTATCATGATTGGATAACTATTTTTAAATCAATAAATCTATATTAATTTAATTATTTTGATTAATATTATTATAATATTATTATTAGATAAGATCTTCAAGTTTTTATAGTTCATCTATTTCTTGATCATCATCTTCTAAATATTATTATTACATAAGATTTTCAAAGTAATTTGGATCTTGCATAATATTATTATTATTATTATTATTATTAATGATAATAATTTCAGACTTAATAAATTTAGTATCTTAATGATATTCTTCTTATTATTATTCTTGTTTATCTGGTTATAATTCTTCTTCATTTTTATTAGATTTAAGCATAGATGATGAAAATTAATCCATCATCATTTTTTCAATATCATTAAGATTAATTTTAGGTTTAATTTCCTCTTTTTAATTATTATAATTTTAATTTTAATAATATTATTAAGCCATAAGTTCTTCTAATTGTTATGATTCACTTAATTATTTATTTTTTACTATAGGTAATCTTTCAATACTTTGATCATTACTCTTTACGAATTCACTAGATCTAATAGTAAGTATTTTTTCTAGACTTCCACTATGCATGATTGATTTATATTATTAACTTGTTTAATTAATTGGAGGTTTATGAACTTAATTCTTATATCCTTAATCTGGTATACCATTAACTGATATTTTGGCAATTTATGTTGATCCTTCTTTTGGTCTAATCAATCCATTCTCAACTAATGCATTTTTATCTTTATGTATATGATGAATTCCTATTTCCTTAATTTTAGTTTCAATTTGTATCTTTCTTGTTACAACATTACATAGATCATTGTGAGATAGTAACTATGTTTCTTACATATTTTCTGTTTTATTGAAGTCTTGATGAATAGACTTCAATTATTACAGAACTTATTGATATTTACTTTAATCAGGATTGTTACTCCTTCTTATTGAAACTGATAATCCACCATGCATACTAGAACTAGACATATTACTAGTCTATAATTTGAATGATTTTCTATCATCAT